TGTTGAAGAACTCTACCGGATTAGATGGAGTGTCTATATCGAAAAAAATATTCGTTGGGGAGGCGAAGCGTGCAACCATACAACATCTCAGCAGCTGAAGCCTGAAGATCCTCCTTGAAACACGTACGAAGACCGAGCAAGGCGGTTGGTAGTAGTTTTGTCCACTGTGTCTCCGGACTGCACATCAACGCAGCTTTCAACGATCTGTGCCACCGCTCTACCATGCCATTGGGTTGCGGGTGGTATGGGGTGGTGTGAATATGTTCGCTTCCCACCATATTCGACAGTGATTTGAAAAGTGACGACTCAAACGGGGAGCCCTGATCGGTTGTAATGATTTTGGGGCAGCCGAAGCGCGCTATCCAATGAGTCCAAAGTGCCATACATACAGTTTCCGCCGTCATATCTTTCAAGGGTACCGCCTCCGGCCAACGAAAAAACCAGTCAATCATTGTTAAACAGTATCTATAGCCATTGACCAAGGGCATCACTACAATGTCTAGATGGATATGTTAAAATCTGTGATCAGGAACGTTGATCTTATCTGCTACTACGGTGTTGTGTTTATGAATTTTTGCCCTTTGGCATGATAAACAATTCCGTGACCACTCGATAATGTCGTTTCGCATGGAAGGCCAAACAAATTTACGACAAATTTGATTGAGTGTAGCTCTGCCGCTAGGATGAGAGAAGCCATGTACGTTTGAAAAAACTTTGTACCGTAGAGGTTGAGGCACATATGGACGCACGTTACCATTCGACACATCGCAGTATATCAGGGCGTCATTTTCCTGTATAATTTGTAGATGTAGGGATGTCTCGCCATTTAAAATTGTTGACATTTCCTCATCCCCTGCTTGAGCCGCCTCGATGTCTTTTGTATCGACAGAAGTTGGCATGGATATAGCGTTTAATCTCGAAAGATCATCCGCTACCACATTGTCATTGCCGCACACGTGCATGATAGACGTAGAAAACTGAGAGATATAGTCTAAATGTCGCAGCTGGCGTGGCGAAGCTTTTCCCGGTCTTTAAGCAAAAGCGTATATGTGTGGCTTGTGATCAGTTTTAATCACAAACGTTCTCGCCTCTATCATGTGCTTAAAATATTTAATTGCTTCGTAAACCACCAACAACTCTCTGTCATAAGTGCTATAGTTACGTTCGGTTGGGCTTAGTTTCTTTGAAAAAAAAAAACCGAGAGGATCCCATGTGCCACTATTACGCTGCTCTAGCACGGCTCCAATGGCTGTGTCCGATGCGTCAGACGTAAGGCTAAGATCTGCATTTGGATTAGGATGACTAAGGACCGCTGCATTAGCTAGGCTATTCTTGCAATCGACAAATGCTTTGTTAGCAGCCGGAGTCCACGGAACAGGTCGTTTGTCATCTTTTTCATATTCCGCGTTAAATCGTTCAGCGGAGCTTGTATGTGTGATGCATGCGATATGCAACGACGATAATAATTTAAAATTCCCAGAAACCGGCCTAATTCACAGATCGTTTGCGGTTTTGGATAACTTAAAATTGCACTTACCCGATCTTTGGGCGCTTCAATGCTCTTGCTGCTAACTGTATAGCTTAAAAACTGAACTTCGGTTTTCTTAAACTGACACTAGTTAGCGTTGACGTTGAGACCGTGTGTCTTCAAAATCTGTAAGACGTTCTGAATGTGCTGGTTATGTTTCTCTGCTGATTCCGACATTATTAGAATGTCATCTATATAACAAAACACATAGTCAACTCCACGGAAAATCTGATCCATGAACCGCTGGAATGTTTGTGTCGCATTTTTAAGCCCAAACGGCATATATAAAAATTCGATCAGACCGAAGGGTGTGCATACAGCCGTCTTTTCAATGTCCTCCAGAGCCATTGGGATTTGATAATATGCCCGTTCTAGATCCGAAGTTGTAAACATAGTTTTGTTGTGCAAACGATCAGCGAAATCGTGGGTATGGGGAATTGGGTAGCGATCAAGTACGGTAATGGAATTAAGCTTGCGGTAGTCGCCACACTCTCGCCAGCCCCCATTCATTTTTGCTACCATATGCAGAGGGCTAGCCCATGGACTTTTAGAGGGACGACAAATTCCATCATCAATAAGCAGATCGATTTGAGCCTTCGCCGATGAACGCTTTTCGCCCATTAAACGCCGTGGCCTTTCTGCCACTGGTGCGCCGGATATTTTGATGTAGTGACATACCGTGTGAAGTCTACCGGTATTATCGGCGAAGACACTCTTACCATCGGCCTGCATGACCTTCGTCTCTTGAAAAATATTCTGAGAACGCTTTTCCTTATCTATAGTAGCTGCAGTAAGGTTATGTGACCGCTCTGCAATGTTGTTAGTTGAAAGATTTCTTGCTGTATGAATGACGCGCTGCTGCTTGATGTCTATCAGCAAAAGGAACTCTGCCAATAAGTCAGCTCCAATGATCGCTGTTTGAACATCAGCCGCGACAAAAGACCATTTAAACGCATATCCTAAGCCCAAATCCAGCTCCAAATCTTGGTCACCGTAAGTCTGTATAAGAGTTTGGTTTGCGGCATGCAGTTGTAGTCTGCCTTGTGTTTGCTTATGAGGTGCCATAGTGCGGGGAACAACGGACAATACGGATCCAGAGTCTATTAAAAAGTGTTGATGAGAGCGACGATCTCGTATTTGCAATAGCCAGTCTTCAATATTTTTGAGTGAAGATTCGTGAACGGAAAAATTTCTGGCTCTAGAATCGCTGCCGCTCGCCAGCTGAGTCAACGGCAGCAGGTTTAGTTTAACTGTTGGAAACACTTACAATTTGGTTGGCATTTACGTGCATTATCGCCGAACTTGGTGTGATAATAACAAAGTGACTTCTTGTCACTTCCCTCATTCCCATTCTGTGAACGAGAAAATGTACTCTTTCTGCAGTAACGCACCTCCTCACTTAGCTTGTCGACTTTCTCAGAGAGTGAGCGCAGTGTTAACGCAACATCTATTACGTCGAGTTTTTTGCTGTTTATTGCATCTACCTCTTGCCTTTTCTGCTCCGGCAGTGACACTACTGCTGACATTGCATATGCAGAGTCCGTATCACTGGTTTCCAGAATTTTATCTGCCATTTTTGCCAATTTATCTAGATCTTTATCCTCCCATACAGATATGAGCGGACGTATGTTTTTAGGTAGCTCAGCTATAAACAACGTACGTAAAATACTTTCACAGCCTGTAGACGGAGCTAGACGACGCATATGTGCTAAAATTTCTGTAGGCTTTTTACCCGTCATGTCGCCGCCATGCAATAGTCTTCTGAGTTTAGAGTCGTTTGACTCCGCGAATTTATCAAGTAATCTTTGCTTCAATGCGTTGTATTTGTCGCTTTTAGGTGGCTTTAATAGTAGATCTTCGACGGCACGGGCAATGTCAGCCTCAAGAAGCACCGACACTAAGTCGAACTTACGACCATCTGCCACGACATTGTTCAAAGTAAATAGACGTTCCGATTGTGCGAACCAAAGGTCTGGATTTGCCTTGTTAAATTTCGGAATGTTCACTTGTACGTGCTGTTGCGAGTAAGTTGCTTGTTCCGTCAGCGGTGCCACCTGCAGTAGCCTGAGTTGCTCCTTCAACTCACAGAGTTCTTCAGTGAGGCTATTCTCTGTTGCTGTCATATTTTCTGCGTTTTAAAACTCTTCTCTTTCTGCGTGGGGATTATTCGAAGAACGTAGAAAATATCGTCCGTTGTGCATGTGCGGTTGAATCCTGAACGTCGGGGTCACCACTTTAGTCTACTGGTTCAATAAAAGACTCACCAGTACACCTACAAAACTTTCTCTTTATTTCTAATCTAAGATATAATTATAATTCAAGATGTTCGATGTGAAGCAGTCGTTAATACAAAAAGATTGTGAAATCTATCAGCTGTTCTGTCAGGAGTTGATATCGTAGCAATGCCAGATGCATGTAATGCGTTGCTGTACAATTCCGACAGAGGGTGGCAAGTGTTGCCACAGATACAAGGCAACAGTGCCATCTACCGGTTATCTGAACGCATCGCCAACAATTCCACAATCAAACGAACTCTCAAAAATTTACATAAATAATGCCACAACCACACGCAGCCAATATTATACAAATATAATTAAAATAAAAAATTTCCTCAAATAGTAAAATAGCTAGGGAACCACCACTTGCCACCCAACTATGACTGTTCAAGAAATTGAACGTTGCCCATTCAAAGTGGCTCACATTGCAGAATGACCCGATTTACGGTATTACGCACAAAGACTGAGATGCACTCTGAAGAATTCGCGATCGCTTGCCGATTATGCAACAAAAACCATGGGGTGCGACTCTGCCCAATTTACCGCAGCAAGTCGGCAGAAGAAAGGCTACGAGAAGTGCTCATACACCGCTACTGCCCGAATTGCCTGTCACCATTCCACCGGTTGGAGATCTGCAGCAGCACTGACCGATGCCACAGATGTCGTGAGAAGCACCATACGTCTCTGCATATTGAAACCGGTGACGATCGTAGAAAGGTAGCTCGTAGTCAGACCGACGAAGACGACAGCTCACAGGGTGCATTGTCGATTCACGTCACCGAGCAGACAAAATCATGGGCTCAGCAGGTGGAAGAACAAGAAAGAGAGCGAAACGAAAGAATAGCCGAGTCGGTCGTCGACGACATAATGGTTCCCTCTGAAGAGACTTGCAGCTCGGAAATTCGTACTTTCCGACAACCACCACAGAACGACTGGCGAATGCGCGGCTCGGAAACCAGTTTTTTTCGACCGCCCAGGCAGATTGGCTGCGGACCTAGTCGGTTCGGACCACCTGGCCAGCCCCAAATACTACGCACAGGCGGCTCGGAAACCTTCCAACCGCCCCGACGGTTTAATGGTCAGCGACGGGGCGGCGCGGAAACCCGTTATTTCCGCTTGTATCGGCGCGGGCAAGGTAGATCAGTCCAATATCGTCGGAACCAACGACTACGAGGAGAGGACAGATCAGCGCTCGTTCTTCCGGACGCACGACTGACTGGTTTTAGAACGGGCCGACTAGCCGGCACAACAAGGGAATCAATAACGCGTTCGTTCGAACCGATTGCACCGACAGCAATCGTGCGGATAGAGTCGAGTGGCGGCCTCCACCTCGTTCGAGCTCTAGTAGACTCTTGCGCGCCTAACAGCATTATAGACGCAGATTTGGCCCGTGATCTGGAATTAGAACGAAGCCGCTCAGGGCGACAAAAAAGGTGTTCGCTCGTCCTACGAGGGAAGTATGGCGCTACGGAGAGAATAATTACCCAAGCAATAATAATACCGCGACACAACCGACTCAGTCCGCCGTCGAGTATCGCCCCCACGGTCGCCGCGCCATTCCAATTCTTGCGGTTGGCCGATCCCTATTTCTATCGGGCCTCACCAATCCGGTTGACTTTGGGTTACGCCCAAATAATGATGAGTGGCTCCGCTCCATCTACGATTAGTGGGCTATTGGCCCAACCCACTGTCTTCGGCTTAGTTGTGCCCGGAGCTCTTCAAAAATAATAAATTATAACCCAAATGGCAAGACTACGCCTCTGTTTATAAATTCATGATTTCATGGTAATAAAGTGCATTGAAATTTAAAACCACGTCATTTGAATTAACCCCTGTCTATTTATTGGCAGTTTAGGGACGGCGGTGAAACAGTGGACGTGGCGAACGAGGATCGTAATACAACCTGTCACATTGTTAGATTAAGTTATATAGAAAAAAAATATATAAAAAATAAAAATTGTATTTTCCCATGTGGCATGATAGATGGGCGTCTAAATCGATTATTGAGGTTGCCCACCGCAAGGGACCGGTATGTTTAGGCCTCCGGGCTAAATATAGCGCACCACCCTAATGAGCGGTAATATAGACCGTATGCACATACACGTATATATATACATATACATATGCGCGTGTATCTATACAAATTAAAGTTATACTCTCTAATACGCATACGCGTCCAATTTATCTGCCGTTCAATAACTGATTTGAGGAGAAACTGAACGAAAAGTCATTGTTCGGCGGGTTAAACGGATCTTATTTCAATTTAACATAGTCACTTCCCTGAGGAATTCCAACCGATCGCCAGCTACCACGCTCACATCAAGGTAAAATCACATCAAGGTAAAATCAACAAGACAATATTGTGTTGTATTTTCACAGGCTATTGCAAATAAATTTGTAAGACCTACTATATACTCAACACTAAAATCGAGTTGTTTTTTTTACTTTTTATTACTTTACGTCTGAGCGCTCCACTCCGTGAGACGTGCTGGCGTAAATAATTTGGTTATTTATTTTCCTGTTTGTAAAATTCGTAAAAGTGGACTTAGCAACGTTTCACTCTAAGCTACCGAAATGTATTAAAATAAAAATCCACGAAGAACCACACATAGGAAGACGAACAGTAAGTATATCGTCGTTTAAAGTAGAAAACCGCGTATCAAGAGAATGCAAAGCCCCATATATCAGGTTGCCAAAATTATATAGGAGGGATAAAAACCTGTCTTTTTTCAACACGGTTCTCTCTTTTATTACCAATTATTTCTACCTTTTATATCTAAATATCGATATTTGGGTATAAACGGATAAGGTTTGATGTTCCAGTGCGCAAATCTTATTTTTGGCACAAATGTCAGTTACGAAGTTTTGCATAACCACGATACGCGGTTTTGTATTTTAAACGACGATATGCATTTACATAAATATATATGTACATATGTATATCACTGCACCTCTCTTTTGTTGTTGTCCGAAGTATGTTGGAAACGGGATGACTGCTGGACTGCGGACATACACTTGGCACTTATTTTTGTTTAAGGGCCATTCCATGTTCCTTCGATTGTTTACTTTTGCGAATTCATAATTTTCTCCAAATGTTC